GCTGCAGACAATTCCATAAAATCCACTCAGCCAAAATGTCAAAGAAACCAATGGAAGGTGAGCAGTGGGTCAACACTCACCTGCTGCAGAACTCAGCACAAAGCAGCACTGATCGTGCTTCCCATGCTACGTGGCTGCCAGGAGAGATAAAGATCAAACCTGTTAGGGAGAAACTCCTGTCCTTCATCCTAGAGATGGGAGAGCTGTTTCTTTGCTTATTTTTTATATATGATTGGAGATTTTTATTTTTCCTTTTGAGAAAGATGTTTGCTTTATTTAAGATAGTGGGAATTTAGAAATTAAAGAAACTTTTCATTTAGGGACAGAATAAAATCATCAAGAAAGATTTTTAGAGATTTTCATAATTGCTTATTGGGCATCTGCAGACAATTTACCACTAATAAATAATGGTCAGTAAGCAGAGGGTATTCTGCAAAGAAACCAAAATATAAGGCTCAGTCTTTGTAACTGGAAGGACAAGTGAAGATGATAGATGATTTCAGATTCGGATACCGTAAGAGGTGGAAAGTTGTAACCAGAGCAGTGAGTGATACAAAGGTTTCAACACTGAGAAATGTTCATCTCTGTCCTGGAGGGACAGTGCAAAGTGTTTTCTGTCCCCCTCTAGAAATGTATCTTCAAAAGGCTGGCAAACTGTGTACTGGGCTTCTTTTCTCAAAGAGGTGAGTTCCTCTAGATGCTGTGATCTCTTGCCAGCCCTCACCCTGCCTGGTAGCCAGACCTGGAGAGAAAAGCACTCCTGAAAACAAGAAACTTCTGATAACCTCGTGGCCACCGTGGTGTCATCATAAAGTGTGGGCCTGAGGGTCTTCCCCTAGCAGGACACAAGTGCCACAGATAAAACTTGGCAACTTGTCTTTAGGGCACACCTCCTCTTCCAGCCAAGACAAATGTTGGTTCAGTGCTCATAGCCTCTAATCTGACTTCCAAGAAACTTGTCACTGTGTTCTTTTCTTTTGTCGATGATTTGTTTGCAAACAGAACAAGCCTGGGCACTGGCCAGCTCTCAGCATACAGGACTTTTCTAAAGAGGGAGTTATTCTGCAACAACCCCCTGTCCTGGGTTTTGAACAGAGAGGGGTTGTTTCTGGGCATTTTTTGGTTTACCATAGAGGACCTTTTAATTAGCATATATAAACCCTCTTGTTGTACTTCTTGGGTTAAATACACATGAAAATCACCTGCTGTCCAGCACCCTGAAGTGTGAAGTTCACTCTGGCTTTCAACATCCCGAGTTCAAAGCCAGGGAGGGTATCACTGTGACTTCTGAAGGACTCACAGCCAGACGTGGTGACAGTGGCACCCTCTGTGTCATTCCTCTGCTTGAAGCAAGCTGTGTTGCAGCTTATTTGGAAAGCACGTGGAATTGTTTGTCCTTGGCCAGTGTGACTCAGGCCTGTCAGAAAAGTTCTTGTGTAAATTTATCAAATATTGAGTGTTCTCTGCTCATCATGTTGTTTTATTTAGAATGTAATTTTTAGATGCAGTAGTCCATCAGCTGAGTATCTGCTGACAAGAAGCACAGGTCAGACCTTAATTTTTTCCTGAGGTTGTGTGCATTGAGTAAGGGAGCTCTAATTCATGATTATTGGTTGAAATACAGACTCTCCCTATTTCTTGCTGATAAAAGCTGGGTGCAGCTGGACCTCTGGATCTCTCATTTATTACCAGATCTCACATGAGGGAATCTCTATTCAGCTGAAGATACCTAAAGAGTTTCCTTTTCTGCACGGTCACAGGGGGGCTGACGCCCACATTTTAGCCTTGGCTACCTGGTGGGCAGCAGAGTTGTGGTAGAAAGATCACAGGTCTGCAGATGACGACATGCGCAGGCAGCTTGTCTCTCAAACTGTGCATGTAAAAGCAGTTGTTATTTGGTGAGACAAGTCATGCTTTGCTCTTATCTCTTAGTCTCCCAAGAAAGCTATCTGATAACAAGCTAAACTGAAAAGAGTCTGCACTCTGCTGTTATTAAGATTCCTCTTTCAGAGATCACCAGTAGAAAATAAAGAAGAAATGACACTAAAAAGGCAGAAGAGATTTCACACGCAAACACTCTTCCTGGAGCCTGCAAATTAATCAGTAAAAGGATGATTTTGTTCCAAGCATTGATAAGTTGTCATTATAATTCTAAGAGCATTTCAACAGCCTTTCACCAGTTGTACCTCTGAAAGTCTTGTGACTTGCTCATTGGAAAAACTGCACCACGTGTGCAGCTGCTCTGCTTTTACAAGATAACGAGGCATCAGAAGATGCCAGGCAAGGTGCCAGATAGCAGTGCCATTAGAGCAGGACAACCACAGCACTTCTGCCTGAACAACATCTCTGCTTGCTCTAAAAGCATCAAGTGGTCACAGCAAATGCTGAGGAACCTGCCTCGTGTGAGGGATGCCTGCGCTGAAAGCGTGATCTCGAGCTGGGATGTGTGACCCAGGGTTAGAGGGAGCCATTAACCAACTCTCGTGGTGAATTAGAAAATGTCTAATATGGGTGAAAAAAGAGGTGTTCAGGTTGTTAAAAGTGTGATTGTAAACAGAAGGCTGTAAAAGGGCATTTTCTACTACTTCATTGCTATGTTAAACTTGCAGGTCCCTCTTTGCTAGTTTTTAGAATAAATGCAGCCTTCTTCCACCTAAGTAGTACTTTCTGGCTTCTGCAGTCAGCAATCTTTACTCTGAAAATTGTTTGAATTCCTTATTGTCTTCTTTTTCAATTCCAAGTAAATATTTGAGTGAATTTATATGCCATTGTTCAATATGAGAAACAATTAGTTACGTCTATTAGCTCAGAGGAGGATAATGTAATTTCCCCTCTTTGTGGAAGCTGCAAAGAGTATTCCAAGTTCAGCTTATCTTGGAACACTTTGAAGACCAGGTAAATCTGAACTTTGTTGACGTGGAAGAACTGGGGATGCAAATAATGGTTTGCCTGCAAAGGGGACAGATGACAAATGAAACCTGTAGCCACTCCCTTCAGGCGCACTGGTTAAAGCCCTAAAAGCAACCCCTCAATGAGATGATAAAGCTCACATGACAGAAATGAGATTTCCTTTTCAGAGGAAGAAACTCTGAAAGATCTTAAAGATCTCTTCATATTTTCTTTCTTCCTGTTTTGCAGTACTTTTCTTCAGTCTCACTCCATGTTACACAGCTGCACAGAAGTATGGTATGTCTATAAAAATGAATTTATTAAGTCTGTGGTTTCATCTTACTTATCTCTGGAAAGTGTGTGTATAGCTGTCCCTGTACACAGTGATATATTCATAGAGTACAAGAATAAAGTTACACTTGAGAGACAAAATTGATTTCAAGTTCGGTGGCTGGTGCTGGCACCTGGCCTCCTGCCTGGGAGAGTTTGCTGCTGTGCTTGCAGAGTGTTAGTGTAGGTGATATTACTGACATGGAATTGGGCTACTCGGATTATCTCGGTGTGAAAATTTTAAATTGGTATAACTGAGAAACATAATGCAGTAGATGATGGCTTTTGCATTTATTTTAAAGCTTTAATTTTAGGTTTATGAGCTCTTCACAGAGCTGAGTGGTTTTTTTAAGATCAATTTTCTGGGTCTGCAATTTTAAACTCTGCTTTAAATTCCACTTCTGAGCAAAAGGAATTGCATGGTCCCTGTTTAGCCCAAGCAGATCAAACCTGCTGGGTCACCTAATGAGTGGATGGATGCTGCCCTGAGTGCAGATGATAGGATCTGGTGTTCCACTGAAAGAATCACCACTTCTATTTAAAGAAAGCATCAGGTGGGTTCATCTTCCTTCCTCAGCCAGCCAAGGGTGTGCTACTCCCATATTCTGGAGGCTTCACATGAGGGGCTGCAAAAACCTTGCTTCGTGCCACGGCATTCCCTGACAGAATAAAAGCTTGCTCATTCACCAGGCATGTGTTTGCCTGTCTCTCGATTATGCAGGCAAAAATACAGATCAAAGAAATCAGATTTACAGCTCAACAACAGCTCTGATGCTAATGACACTGGGATGCAAACTGAAAGTAAGGCTGGTTTCACTGAAAAGCCTGATCATTACCTTCAGCATTAGGAGGCAATGTGCTCCAGAAGGAAGCACAAGGATGTCAGTGGGAAGCTGATCACCCAAACAATTGCAGTAAGTCCATTTTTAAGGTGAGTATCCCAGCTTTGAAATAAGAGGGAATTGAAGACTCAAGTTGATTGCATATGCTAATGCAGGTGTGTGTGTGTTAAGTTTTCCTGCTCAGGTTTTGGGCAGGGCATGAGGTGGCTTCTTGGGAAGATTATGCCCTCCTTGGGGTGCCTGAGGTGCAGGCAAGCCAGCTCACACTCCTGGGCAATGCATCTCATGAGGGTTACCCTTGCTGGACCAGTAACGATATCACAATGAATTACTAAATTTAATCTCTATTGAAAATTCAAGGCAAAACATCCTCCCCTTCACCTCTACAACATCCCATTGAATGGAGAAGATCAGACTGGTGCTAAAGACGAATTGGCAATAAAAAGGGAAAACATTAAACACTTGGGGTTCTTGCAAAGGATAGCAATGCATCTCAACCAGCCTAAAAGCTGAGTTTTTGTGTATGTATGTGTTTCAAGATAAAACTACATTGAAAATCAGTGTAGAAGAATGTAAACACTGTAATTTTAAATTTTAAACGAGAGTTAGAGCAGCAGAACAAGAAACTGACAGTGGCTCTGGAGATACCTGAAATACAAAACCAACCCAAGCTTGTTTTCATGCAGCTGCTTTTTATATGAAAAAGGATGAAAAGGCAACAGTATGTTTTTGTGTTGAGAAAATCCTGCAAAGGATTTATAGTATTTAATTTGTAATTTTCTGTAAGCAGAGGATATCACCTAAAAAGAAATGAACCTTGGCGGAGGCAGGGATACAGCATGGCAATAGCTGTAGCTGTTCCCAAGTTATGTCAGGATTGAATTTAGTTTCAGTTCTGGTGTGGGAGGACCAAGTAGACTGTGCACAGGAGCTTGGAGCCAGCCTTCTGCGTTGGAAGATGCAGATGCTGGGCTGGCAGCACAACTGTGCAATCAGAGACAGGATGAAGGAGCAGCTCCATGAATAGCTGGTGCTGGGGAGAGGGGGAGCTTAACTGCTTTGCTCATGTATGTAAAGAAAGAGGTGATTTCTGATTGTGAAATTCCCATGAAAATCATATTCCTGTATTTCTGAGCAGTGTTTCATAACATTGTGTGTGCATAGGGAAGCTAATATACAAAGGCTGGATATGCATTCACTATCACAGCTTGACTGTTTTTATAATATCACTTAAATGCCAGTACTTGCTGTGCTTTCTAAATGTTGATCCAATTCAGGAGAGCTTTAAAAAAAGTGTGTGGGTGGCTGATCAGCATGGTTCTTTTTCTGTTTTATATGAAACTATGCTGTCATTTACCAAATTAAAAAACTAACAATCATGCATATTTCTGCTTCGTTGTTTGGTTTTTTAAAGACAGATGTGTAAGTTGAAGTATGAAAGTCTATAGGTTGTCTAGTATGTTCCTGCTTGCTGTGATTTATTTCAAACCATCTTACACTCACGCTAAGAGAAAATTATGGAAGTCTAAATTTCTCCATTGATTTGCTTATAAAGTAAATTACAGGTTCAGACCCATAAAAGCTCCAGGTTTTAGTAGAGAGGATTCTGTACCACAAAATGCCTGAAATTCTAGAATGCTCCAGTGTCTCAGTGGCTGACAATGCAGGCTTCCATCCAGTCGTGCACTTAACTATATACTTCAGGTTAAGCCTGTGAGTTATCCACAGCCTATCCTAATTACCAGACCTTAAGCATCTGAATGGTCACAGGAGCTCAGTTAACCTTCTTTTCCATTTTTCCTAACAGTAATCTCTAATTAGTTATGGTGCTGCTCAGACTTCTTTTTCCTCACTGCACTTTGACAGAAAATACCTGAAAAATTCCTGATTCAGGGGCAAAGTCCTGGAGTAAGAAGTACTGCTGCTGCTGCTGGGGTGACAATTGTCAGAGCCACATCTCATCAGAGACACTGCCAATATTCTTAACCAGCGAAAGACAGATTCTTCTCATATCACCCTCAGTTCTGCTATTTCTGATCACTGCTATGATGCCTCAGCTAAGGGAGCAGGCTGTACAGCCAGGACCAGGAGGCAGAGCTCACCCAGCCTCATACCCACTGTGTTTTGAGTAGGAACTGTCTCTGCACCCTCCAAGAGCTCCAGCAGAGCAACATAGATAACAGAGGTATGTTTGAAAAATGAACACTGAGAACCCAGGTTGACAGAGAAAAATGCCACAGCCTTTACTGTGTCTGTCAGACTGCTGTACTTGTGCTACAGGAAGGTGATGACAAACCTTTCTGATGTTTGATGCCAAATTAATTTAAATGGCATTGTGACATGTCAGCTCAAATCTCTGCTCCTGGAACCAGTGCCAAATTTGGCAGTAGATCACCATCACCACAATAGTGTGGCTTTGAAGTGTCTCTTTTGTTCCCTGCAATGAGATTTCAATTCCACTCAGAAAAGAAACTGACATCAGTTATAATGCATCCTCCTCAAGAAGGAAAGCTCTGAGTTAAAGGTACACTTATTTACTTACATTTTCCATGCCATTTTTAAACAGTCTGTCCTGTGGGTAGACCAGCTACAGAAACTCCAAGACTGTAACTCCTTAGAGTATAAGAAATCTGAACAGGCAGCTATGTGTGATAAAACATCATAAAGGAGCAGTATGTAATATCATATCCTCTAGGAATATAGACAACAGTTCAGAATATAAAATTGGGTGTAAAGAACTAGTAATTTTCCCTTCATTAGGACTTTTTAACTGCTATAACAACCTGCAAACTCTACTAAGCACAGGCTGAAAATACAGTAGAGTAGATTAATATGTGAAATAAAATGGGATTTTTCAACTGCACATAGTTTCATAGTTTACAGTAGCTCCCAGCTGCATTTGGAAGTTCTTTAAAAAAAAACCTAGTCTTGGGGTCTACCATCAAGGCCAACTGTAATGTCTACACAGAATAGAATCTGGATCTACTTGCAAATTACCAAAAGAGGGAAAAGTGGGTTTTAGCATCACTTGACTTGTTTTAATTTCTCTGTAAGTATCTTTGCTCACAGAAGTATACAATGAAATCTTATTCAAATTGAAAACTGTAAATATCTCCTCAGTTACCTAGTTGAACCATGCTGGTTCTGCCTGGTTAATATCATCTTACTTCCTAATCATCCTGGTTGTCCAGGTGTCTGTGTAACCAGGGAGGTTTTGCACAAACAGCAGCAAATAAATTACAATCGTGTTTATTGTCAAGCATCCTCTTTTAGCTTATGACAAAGCGAGAAAGAAATGAGTTTATGTAATGGAGGAGGATTGTTGTAATAAAAAGCCTGTGCATTTCCAGTGATTTATTGGCTGGTAGACCTGCAGACAGAGATTCCCAGAGGCTGAAATTGTGATTTTGCTCTACACAGAAAGGATGGATGCCTCTTTACATTGCCTAATCTCCCAAATTATGCCTAATCAAGCATTGGCTTTTGATGTCAATTTACCCTTAAGCAAAGCTTTATGACCTTCTTAAAGTGTGACAAACAGAAGGATCTTTGTTCATAACCAGACCTCATGTCCAGTTTTAGCTTATGCTAAAAAAATCAGCTTGCTCCACTCCTTCCACTTCTGCTTATTCTCACTTAGAGAAATAGAAAGCAAATCCCTTTTTCACAGAGAGAGGCAAATCGGAGGAGCTTTCTGGAAAGGATTCTCTGAAGCAGGCAGGTCCTTGCCACAAGACTGGAGAATTACAAGACAGCTGATTTCTCCCAGGAGTGCTTTTAACTTCCTGACCCTCTTACCTTGTTGAGCCTACACCCTGTAGGGCACTTCAGGACTATGGGGTGTCTAAGATGCTGATTTTGTCTGTTTGCCATTACTTGGGATCTGACAAGGTAGTAGAACAGCAGTTTTGTTACTGCTTTGAGCATGAGCATGCAGCTAAACCTCTTCTGTTGCTGTGGTTTTTAACTTTCTGAGATTGCTAAGGAAACAGTTTCTTTTTATCTGAAACAGAGCAGTGGCTTGATTATTCAGACATGAGCAGCAAGGCTAGGTGCCACAGGTTGATTTTTTTTAAGATCCCTGTCTTTAGTTTGAATTTCTTCAGCCAAGAAGCATGATATTCATTTTTTGAAACCCAAATTATTTCTGCCTTTAAAGAAGTTCTCTTTTTACCTCATTACTTGTTGAATTATTTTTTGTAAATTTTTAGAAATTGAAAAATGTTTTGGATGCAGGTGCTAGATGTACAGACTTTAAAGTGGCATTGTTTTTTATGGAAGACTTCCTTACAGCATTGGGTTGATTGAAAATCTAATTATGGATATGGACTATTCCTAATAGTGTGTGTGTGTGTGTGTGTGTGTGTGTGTGTGTGTGTGTGTGTGTATATAATATAACAAAAATTATCTAGACTACAGTTTGCTTCAGAATACTAGAAATCCATATAGATATACCTTCAGATTACTTTTTAGTGTAGACCTGGTCTCATTACATTGTTTTGATTAATACGGAATCTGAAAGGACACCATTTCCTTTAGCCTGTTTCCTAGAAATAAGGCTAAACCTGCCAAATGATGTTATGAGAATGTGATTTCTCACATTATGTAACTATTATGCACAATTTCCTAGGAGTACCTCTTACAAAATCTTTTCCCATAATACCACAAATACCACTGAAGCAAGTCTTACTTTTAACCCTCTGCTCAAAATGGTGTAAACAATATCTGAATAAGGGTCTGTTGAGTTTAAAAGCTTTGTTATTCATGCTCTAATTGCTCCTAGAACACGTTTGTCAGGGAGGTCTGTGGAGAGAGGTACTCAGGTGCTGATGCACTCCAACACACTGTCAGTCCTAGAGCACCTGCGAATTTTGCCATTATCAGGTGGATTTGTTTGGGTTTCTTCTTAGAGAAGGATAAACATGATGGAATGGGGCTCACCTCCTGCTGCCAGAGAGGGTCAAGAAAACTCCTAAACACAAGGCTCAAGGCTCAGGACAATTCCTACTGCCTGATGTCCTGGTTTGTGTTCTTTATGTTGAACCTTTTCCTGCAATAGGATCTGCTCTGAACCAGAGTGCATTAATCAGGATAAGTCATGCTGGCTCATACCTGCATTCAGCTGTCACAAAAAAGTGAAATTATTTTAAACCTCTCTGATATAATCTGGAAATTGTTGATCTGCTTGAGGTTGCAGCAGTGTCCATATCACTGCTGTGATAGATCAAGATCTCTAAAGCCTGAGAGCCTTTGCTCCAGGCACTGGTTTCACCTTGCCCAACCATCTAGATTTTGCTGTGTCTTGAGAACACATTTGAGGTGTTCTCTCAACATCCTTCTTGATTTTTCAATGGTTTTTGTACAAGTCCAAAGTCCTTCCATTTATGTTCATTGTTCCAGGGACTATGAGCACTACTTGTGCTTTGGTGACATCTTCTGGATAAGGTTGCCACTGGAAGGACTAATTAATACATCTCAACTTCTAGGCTTCTCTGTGCTTGCTTCTGATCTCTTTTGGGGAAAAAAAACTCACAGGTGCCTGGTTCCAGTGATTTGCACCCTGTCTGAAATTTAGTAATGGGTTTGAGACTGCAAAGTGAAAGATGAAAATGGATCAAATTAAAAGCAAACAGAAACTGCCTACATGGTGTTTCATACACAGGTGCAATAGGAACCTCTGTCTTGCACTTGGATAAAAGATTTCTTTAACTTGACCTAGCATCTTCTAATTTTCCTCTTAGGACAAGTCTGTACTTTACTTCCTGTTTGCTAGCCTAATCAGAGAAATTTTTCTTGGCCAGAACAAAGTCACACATAGCCAGGTTTCCTGCATTTAGAAGCAGATGCCTAGAGAAGAGGATAAGGTTTTTTGTTTTCCTGACAAGATTGATTCTTTAGGTGAATATCTTTACCACAATCCTTTAAATTTAAGAATAATGAGGTAAAATAGTATTGCCTTTTGTCTGTGGATTTGATTTTAACTTTTCCACTACTCTCCTTGCCACCCTGGAAAGCTGCATATGACTCCAGGCATGAATTTATCCCTGCTTTTATCTACCTCATAACTCTCTTTGAAATAGTGTGATAATACTGCTCCAGTGTACTAGACACTACTGCTGAATTGTTACAAAACACCACTGAGCTGTTTCAAAACAGAACTAAACACTAACCTCAAAAATTTCTCCTATCATGGGTTATGGGAAAGCTTTCATTTTTATGAGGGTCAAATTGGAAAAACTTTGAAGGAATTTTTAAAAACATCTAGCCCAAATATTGATCCTATAATTTGTCAGCCCCTAAATATGTTTTGAAAACTTACTCACCCAAACTTTGATGGAACAGTGTTTCCCCTTTTGCTCCTGTCCCCCCAGCATTCCCACATGCCCACTGTGCACTCTTTCCCAGACAATCCATTTTGCCCTTGGGGCCTTCTGGGGCAGTTGTGCCTCCAGAACATTTCATTACCATCCACCCAGCACTCAGAGGAGATGCACCCACTGAACAGCACTCTGCAAGGTTAAAATAGAATTCAGGCAAGAAAAACATCTCTGTTGCTGCTCACAAGCCAGCTGTGAGTAAGCTTAGATCTGAATCCAGAGCTCACTAAGCTGCTGTGCAGCACAGGCTGCTGTTTTGTGGGAAAGGGAAGGTGGATCATGGCTGGGCACTTGAATACTTTGTATTGCAAGTGAGGCTGGACACTGGTAATGAAACATGGAGCTTAGCACAAATCCACAATGACATCACCTGGGGAAAGGTGTCCACACCAAAGCACTCCTAATCTTTGTCAGTGTGGGAAGTAAATGTAACAGTCTGCTGGCACAAGAAAGGCAATTAATTTTGATTTTTGTCAAAGGAGTTGCTGAAACCAAGTTTCCAATACTGCCTGTCAGAAAAGCTTAGGGTGTGTAGTAGTTTCATAGGACTTTAAAGGTAGGAGTTTTATCAAATTTTTAAAGATTTAGCATTGTTTCTGTTTGCTGCTAAAGTAGAATATGTTTGCAGACAAGGTTCAGGGGTACAGGGAGAGAGTCACTAGGTCTTAATATTTTCCTCTCCCCACAAGGATTCATTTACAATGCAAAGAAGGACATTTCAGTCTAGATCATGCTGAGTAACTCTCTAAATAAATCAAAACTGCATTTCCTTCCCACCGGTGCCACTGATGAGCACCACTGAAGTGGTGAGAGCTACCTGGTTGAGACTGGACAAAGGCTGGTGTCAGGGCTGAAGATGTTCATGCCACAAGAGCCTCTGCACATTTTATACTACCTGGAGAGCTGCTGAACAGCTGGAATGGTGTCACAAACTTGTCAGCCAGCTGCAGCACTGAAGAGAGAAATTACTGCCCTCCTCCAAGCAGTGGCTGTTACAGGTCTTGTACGGATGCCACAGATCATTGGACACACAGTCCAATTCTTATATGCTGGCTAGAATGAAATTTGGCAAGTCCTGCCACTCTCAGGGAGAGAAAGTATGACACCCAGAAGTTTAGAAGTCCTTCTGTTAGAAGTCTTCTACCTTGATAGGTTTCTGGTCGAAGAATTTAATGATTTTCTTTCAGGAAGATGGATGGCTGCTCTCCAGGTGGCTCAGCACCACTTCCTTTCTACTTGCTTTTCAGAAGCCTGATAGTGACATTTCAAATCTAATCATAATTTAAAATCCTAGTAGGAACCAATTTCATATCTAATCTAAATCGAGTGAAATAAATAGGTTTACACCACAGGTGAATTTGCTCTGATCTACTTCCTGCTTCTCAGAAGTCAAAAAAAGTCCCAGAAGTTTTGAAGTAGAATTTAAAGAATTACACCGTGTCTCTGATGCGAGATGTCATCAGTCAGAGATTGACAGCTGTTCTATTTTTCTTGGAACAGAGCTGGCGTTGGCTAGGAGCTCTATGGCAACTTTTCACTGGTCTTGTCCTGTATTCCTTTAGCACTGCCACAGTTCCACCCAGAAGGTCTCTGTTGCCGTGGCAGGTTGTTTCTGGAAGGCTGGAATCACTGCTCTCTGTTTGCTTCATCCCTGTCCTCACAAAAAGTGACTGTGAGCATTAGGTCAAGCAGACAATCTGCCTGTAGGACACATTTGTGGTGCTTCCTAACACTTTAAAAGCTTATTGGAACTCCAAGGGCCACACTGATAAGAAGCACACTGGGTTAGGGCCTTTGTTCTCAGTTTTTTGATTCACGTGGTTCAGTTCTCTCTAAGATAAAGTGCAAAGAACTTGCATTGGAGAAACTCAAGAACTTTAGAAGAGCTGTCCTTAAAATAAGAAAAGTCTATTAGATATAAGAAATACAGAATGATCAAAGATCAAACTGGAATGTGCTTTTTGTATACATACTCAAGCATCTTTATATTTTTTGCCAGAAATCTCTAAACCATGTCCCAAGTGGTTGGATTGTTGGTTTGATTTTTTTTTTTTAATTAGGCATTTTTGTGCCTACATAATTACTTATGTATACATATACATGCACTTATGTTACATATTTATACATCATATATTATAATTGTAAATGTATTATTTATGCCAGATTTTTTTATTTTTATTTGCAGTGGACTTTTTGAAATATTGATATTTAGCAATTCAGACACTTCAGTTTTTGGTGTTATGCGTTGAAAAATGAAACAGTTGGCTATTTCTGGTTCTGTTCAGACAGAAATTTTGTTTAAAATTATCGCATCTCACAAATTCTGTGCTGTTCCAAACATTATTTCAGCAGCAGTGTGTTTTTTTGCTGAAGCTCCTGCAAATATTTGCTATCATAAAGGTGTTGCTACAATGATTTCCCATGTAAAACTCTGCTAAATGAGCAATTAAAATTATATTTAAATTGAGTGCATCAGACAAGTCCTGCAGTTAGTAGCAATTAATTTCTCATGTTTTGATGTGACAATTTTAACATTCATAAGCTTAAGTGCTGGTAGATTTTGAGGTCTCCAGAGCCTGGGTGCTTTGTGTCAAACAAATTGTTCTCTAAGAATGGCACCATTGTGTGGTTGAAAGGGGAAATCATCCGTTTAGACTCCATGTTTTGCTGAGATTTGCATTTCAATGACACTGAGGCAAGAGAGCAGATTTTTAATTAATGGATTTCAGATCATGGTTTTGGATCATGGTTATGGGGGGCTAGACAGGCTGGACTTAGACGTGTCAAGACAGTCTTACCAGTTCAGAGCTCCTCTCTCCTCTGCTTTACAAATGTGTATGCTGCCCAGGTAATGTGTGTAGTACGTGGAGAAATTGAAGAGTTCCTGAAAGCTACGAGGAGTGATGGAGAGCCTCATGATCTCACCTCAGGTCTCACCATCAGGCCTGGAGTCAGCACCTTCCTCTTGCAAATTCCTCCCTTCCGTGCTTGTCTCATGGTCCAGCTGTGGTGGCTTATCTTATAGTAAGTTTTTTTCGTGGCTTTGGTGGTGCTTTGAGACAGGCAGAGTGGACTGCTGCAACCCCAGCTGGGCTACTCAAGTGGTGCCTGAAAAAGAGAAATGTCAGTCATGAATGTGTAGAGCAAGCAGATTATATTTTGTCAGCAGCTCACAGGGTGAAGGCTTAGGTACTTCATGTGTACTTGTTTGTACTCGTGTTCAATACTATTTTTTCTTCCTTTTTTCCTCTTCTGCCCTGGCATTAAAAAAAATAAATATTGCCAAATAATATACAAATGTCAATGCTATCATAATACCTTCTACAGTTATGTAGGAATTGCTCTTTGTAGTGTCAGCCATCCTTAGTGTGTGAAATATTTTATGAATACCTGGAATGAAAGGGGCTGAGTGTCTGCCAGGATATAGACACCTTCATTGCTCTGAATTTAAATGATATGTCAGGGGAAAGAACAAGATTAAAGCTTCATGCATATTTTAAAAGAGAAATTTGGGTCATCCTGCACAAATGCTGAATTTAATGCTGAATTTATTTTCTTCTTCTTTTTTTTTTTTTTGGACAAAGCACTGTGCTTGCCCCCATGGGAGGAACAACTTTCTGTCCTTCACCATCCTTCTTCATCCCCTGCCTCATCAGAGGGCTCACAAATTGAGTGAGGGAGAAGTGGTGTTCGCTATACAAATGTGTATGAGCTGTGCCTGCTCCTCACAGGCTGCTTCTCCTCCCTTCTTCCCACTCCCTCCTGACAAAAACCAAAAGGCCAAAAGGCAGGCTGTTGCCAAGGCCAGGTACAGTGTCTCCCAGTGGTGCCCAGTGCCCAGTGGTGGTGTGGACAGAGTGATGGGGACTCGGGCTCTGCCCTTCAGCCCAGGGGTGGGCAGGATGGCTGTGGGGAATAGGGCAGCATGAGGAGAAGCTGCACAAGCCATAGGTGGGATGTTCATCTCCTGCCCTCTCCAAGGTCTCCTGAGGCTTGTGTGGTTTTCTTTCCAAATATTTGTCTACAGAAGTGTAATGTAGGAGAGATTGAACCCTCCCAGGAAGAAGCAGTGACCACCATCATTTGTTTTGCTGCACACCTGGCTATGAAAGTACAGGTTCATAAATAGCCTGCTGCAATTAAATGTGGATTTTTTTTTTTTTACAGCACTGCTAAACAGTAGCAGTCCCTGAACATGCTTGCAGAAAACAGGTTGTGCTGTGTGGTGGAAATGGATGGTGGTTGGTGTTAAACATTTCCAGAACCTACTGCACCTCCTCTTGGAGAACTGAGATGGGACTATTCTCCTGTATATGATTTAGTGAAATATGTCAATTTCTTGTGTAGCCCATCTTCAGCCAAGAGAAATTCCCAGCCTGAAGGGCTGATTTGCTGTCGTAATGAAAAAGCTTTAGTTGTATATCCCTTCTGTGCACCAGACACCAGCAGGGGCCTGGGAGCTGCATGGGGCACACCAGCCTGGCCAGCTGCACCCCACTCTGCTGCCAGGATAAATAAGTTTCCAGCTGTTGTTATGGAGATAAATACAGACAAAAGACTGGGTTTAAACACCTTTTTTATTGTCTTTGCAAGAAAAACAGAATAGTGGGTGGGGGAACCAAATTTCTTCCCACATTAATGAATTAACTGATGTGCCCATTGCTAGGGAAAATGTTGTTGGTGATTAAAAAGTGACTGGTGATAAATCTGTAATAAAGAGAAATGTTCACTCAAGACAAAAGGTGATCCCAACTGATCTTCATTGAAATGGCAAGATGTCGCTCCCTTCCCTGAAAAGAAATTCTTCTGAATTGGACAAAGTGACAACAAAGTGGAACAAACTCTCTGGCAAGGAGATATGATCAAATAAAATTCAATTGAACAAACACAGAAAATTTGCAAATGGACTGACTACAAATCTACTGAAATCAAATGAGGTGCTGTAAAAAGGACAGAAATTTGCCAAAATTATTCCCACTAAAATTCCAAAATCAGGGAAGAAAGGCGACATGATAGGGAATTGAAGAAATGAAATTCTAAAAACAAAAAAGATAAAATTAAGACAAAGTGAAAACAATAAGAGCCACTGGGATGATCCAATCCCTCTTTTTCTTACTGCAAAGTTGAGGCCTTTGAACAGTTTTACAGGGTAGTCAGAGAAAATTGCTGGGCAAAAAGGAAGCTACACACACACATTCAGCCTTAGTTTGGGTGTTTCCAAACAACAGGCACATAATATCCAGGTTTTCAATTTTCAAGGTGCTTCTTGAAAATGGGTGGTTTGGGGTTTTCTTCTCTTTGTTTAATCTCCCTTTCTCTCCTGAAGTGTGTTCATTTGCAGGTGACAACTCCCTGAATGACAGAGGACATCTCAAGAAAGTCCCTTGTGCTTCAAAGCTCTCCATGAGCCACCCTGAGGCACCCAGGCACAAGCAATTCTGACATGCACTGAACCAGATACTTCTGTGTTGGTGATGTTTTTGTTGAAATGTCTGCCGGCTTCTCCCTTTCTCCCTTTGGTGAAGGAATAGGATCTGCTTGTTAGAAATGCATTGCTTGCATTTTGAAAGAGGAATCTGTACTGCTGAGGATTTTCTTGGCATGAGTGGATAGTCTTTATTCCTCAGGTGAATTTGCTTTATTTCCTCTTGAATCCAATTAAATATTTATTAGTAGTACTGTGGAACATTTTTCTCCAGTCTAATTTTGTTTTGCTTTAAAGAAACTTTGTAGTAGTGATTGAAAGAGCAGTACCACCAGCTCATAAAGATCTTGTTAGTTACAGATGCTTACAAGCTAACAAATTGATGTGAGTCTTCAAGAACTCATAGTCATTTCTCCACTATCTGTTTTGCAATAACTCGATAGTTCACTTGCAGAGGAAGTTTTCTTCTTCCTGGTCAGTATTGACACAATTTTAACAAGCAGTGGTAGAAATGTGGTCTGCAGTGAGGACAGATTCCTTACTGAGCAGCACAATTGAAGAGTGCCGTGCTGAATGCTGAACTGAAAGCATTCAAAAATAAAAATCTCCATTTTGAAGATGCAGTTCATGGCTAGATTGGCCAACAAAAGGTATTCTCCTCAAGCCTACCCCTCTGTGAAGGGACACTTCAACAGGAGACACTTGGATGTTTCTAAAATGAGTGTCACCTATTGTGTTTGCAGGGTGACTTGTGGCAGGAAGGAACGATGAATCTGACTCCCTGCTCTCAGAAGGCAAATTTATTATTTTAAGATACTATATTATATTAAAGAATACTATACTATACTATACTATACTATACTAAAGAATGCAGAAAGGATACTTACAGAATGCTAAAAAGATAAGAATGAAAAACTCATTACTCTTTTCAGAGTCCCAACACAGCTTGGCACTGATTTGCCATTGAGACAAAACAATTCACACCAGAAACCAATGAAACAATCACCTGTTGGCAAACAATCTCCAAACACATTCCAATGGAGCAAAACACAGGAGAAGCAAATGAGATAATTATTGTTTTTCTTTTTCTCTGAGGCGTCTCAGTTTACCAGGAGAAAAATCCCAGGTGAAGGGATTTTTCAGAGAATGTGAATGTGACAGTCACCTTTTCCCTCTGCATATAGTAAATGGAAAAGGTTGTTCTATTGAGTCTCCCTTGGAAGATGGCCAGACATATTTTTCATTAGCTAGCAAAATGTCAAGTGGTGGAAAGAGTGATTGATAGGACAAGAAAAAGGTGCATGAGAGCAAAATGCACAGGGATTTAAGTCAGGATTGGTTTCAACCCTTGCTTTAAGTTTGTCTGTGCCAAGAGTGGGCACTGAGAGCTCACACAGCTTCATTCCACTCCTTGGCTCACACCAGATGGAGTGAAGTGTCCCTGTCCCTCTCCTCATAGCTCCTGCAGGGGGTGCAGCAGAGGCAATGGACACACTGGAGTGCACACCCAGGGCCTGGCAGGCACGGAGGAGGATGGCAGCAGTGAGACATGGGATGTGCACTCAGGCTTGGTTGTGCTTCCTTGTACTGCAAGGGCTAGGAGTCAGAGGAAGCATGCCAATTCTTAGGAAAAGCATTACTAAGTAGTAATAAAAATCTTTGGGTCATGGCTGAGGAATATTTTCAGTGTGGCTGTTGGACCAAGATGGGTGGTGTCACCTGCCTGCACTGAGGCCAAGCCCCTGTTCTCATGATGCTCCTGCACCATGAGGAATCACTGATGCATGGGAGCATCTGCTGCTGCTGCTGCTGCTGAGGTGCACCAGACACCCTTCACATGGGCAGGGCAGGAAGTCTAGCTTATAACAGGGATAGAATTCTTCATCTGCCACAGCGAAAGGCTGAACCCTAAAATGGAGTAAGAGACACTGGTAGAAGGACCTCCTGCTAGATCTTTTGCGCCCATGGAGTGGGATAATATCCCAAGAAGCTGGTGCTCAGGTGTGAAACAAAGAGACAAAGCCAACTGGTTTTTTTCCCTTTTATCTGAAGGCAATAAATAGAACTGAAAATAAAACACCTGTGATTGTCATAATCCAAGGCCTATCCACTTTAACAAATCCTGTACATTTTGTTCTGTTCCCAGCAGTGCTGCAGATCTCTGTCTGCTTGGCCAGGACTCTTCCTTGTGAAACTTCTTTATTTCTGCAATCCTGATGTTTCTTCTCCTGGTTGGGAATGAAGAGTATAATCTGTCCACTCTTTGTCAGGGATCAAGCAGCTGTGCCTGAGCTTTTGAAGTTGTTCATAGTATCTTATAGTTTATTTTCCATTTACACATACACAGCCTGAAGCACTGTCAGAGCACAGAACACATGAGCAGGGGCCTTTCAATCAGGATAATTAAATCCCAGACAGCACCAATGGGAGCAGCAGCCAAGGCTGTGGTGGAGCTCCCTGCTCTGTCCCTGCCTCAGTGACCACTGGCACTGGGGAAGAAAAACTGTGGTGGTCCAGCTGGGAAGGGCTGCCGGGAGCTGCTGCTCTGCAAATTCAGGGGCGGATGGAGAGAAAGGGAGGGCGGGCAAGGCAGTGTCAGGTACCTGCAGTGGGCGGGAGGCAAATCCCTGCAACACAGCCCCGAGCTGCTGAGTGATGCTCTCCCTCAATGATCCCTTCCCAGCGGGCCAGCTCCCAAAAAAGCCAGATGCCTGAGCAAAGCACGAGTTTTTTCCACTGCCTTGGCCATTCCTCTGCAGGCTCATGAGACAACAACACTCCACCATGTTGCACTAGCACAGGGTGACAATCTCTGAACCATGGCTTAGCAGACCCTAATGCAGGGAATCCAGCACAGATTTTAATGAATAACAGGCTGCTCTGGTAGTTGATGAAAGAAAACTTGTGTATTGTGACAGCTCTACAGCAGGAGAAAAAAAAAAATCCCAGGTCTTCTTGCAAAAGAACCTGTGGATTCAGGAAAATCATGAATATATGTAAAAGAAACGACAACTTTTTTTGGGTACTGGTCAGGAATGGTTTTAAAGCCTGGGTTTTTTTCCCCCATTCATTGGATGAGGAATGGATTTAGTTTTGTGCAACTCCAGTAATCTCAGCTCTGGAAGTGGGACAGTTTTCCTGAATTACTGAGATGGAGTGATAGGGGACTCAAGACAGGAGATGTAGTATCTCAGTTTTGTGGTCAGATTGAGAACCACTGGTGTGTTTTAGCATCTAATTTTCTAGCATTTCACTTACACAGACAAGTGTGTGAATGCTCATTAGTGGATAGTGGAGATGCTGTCTAATTCTCATGGAAGTTTTCATCTAGGGCTGTCAATTTGCTTTCCAGGGGAGCCTGTGTAATTCCACTTGACATACACTGAGGCACTGAGAGGAGCTACTTGCCCAAAACCATCCAGCTCAGCCCAAACAGAACAGCCAGTGCTGCATTTGCACATTTTGTACCTATTTTCCAGGACATGGTGCCGCTGAAATAAATTTCAGGCATGCCACAGATGCAAGATTGGTACGTTTGTGTCAAGAAGAAACAATTTCTTCACTGTGTACACTGAAACAATTCAAAGCATTCCAAAGTCAGATTGAGAATATGTAAGTGCAGAGCTAATAAATTTCTTTTTATTTGAAGGTCAGCTTGTGTAATAGATTTTTTTGCTTTAATTAGACCATGTTGTGTTCTGTATTAATGTGCACATAAATTATTGTACTATGCTGGTGTGATATTTTTAGATATTCTTTCTGGACATCTGTGTGAAACCCTAGACCTAAGACAGAAAATGTCACTACTGCTGCCTCAGATAACTTTTCCATGAGAACTCCTTTTATCCCCATTTTAATCATTTGAGACTGACTTACCACATAAATGGTTTGTTTCCAAATATCCAAGGCAGGGCTCAGCTTTGACTTCTTGCCATGCTCTTCTCATGGAACCCATCTGTCACGGGTGAAGGCTTCTCCCTGTCCCTTTTCTCCTCAGCTAAAGAGAAAAGCTGCTCCACCAGCTGCTCTGTGCTCCCCTGGCTCTGTGTTTCAGCATCCATCCGAGCCTCCTGTTCCCTGCCACACAGCGTGAGGATCTCAGCCTGCCACAGATGACCAGGGAGAAGTGTTAGCTTAAGCACCACCAAAATGCAAATAATGCAGATACTAGGAAAGTACTAGTAGGGATCCCAGCTGCAAAGCAGGGTCTGTGGGTGTGTATATATATCTGTGTGTGTGACTTCTAGCCACCAAGAGGCGTTCCAAAAGGACCTGTGTAACAAGGTCATGACAAGCAATCAAATGTGCTTGGAGCACTTGTTTCACTGCTGCCTTCATCTCTCCACCCCAGGCTGGGGGAGAGAAGCAGCAATTCACCTTTTTCCTGTATATCCAGCCTAGCAGGCTGGGCTGCCTCCATGAGCACCCAGCAGCGGAAGGTGACGCTGGGCTTTGGTTTTGTCTTTGTGTTGCCTCATAAGCACAACTCCCATCCCTTAAAAGAAGGAAGAAAAGTTCCTTGGAGAAACACAGTTGTTTAAAATCATGTCAGGAGTGCCCCACAACACCATGTGCCTCCTTCAAAGGTTCAGATGTGCTTTGCTCCAGCACTGAGCAGTGAACAGAGGGGTGAACAGGCAGCTAGAAAAATGGGGAAGAAAAAATGAGTAGGTGCAGAAATGGTACATCCAACCTCCACAGCTCTTCGAATTTAACAAGTTTTTTTGCTTGACATATGTTTCAGTTCAGAATAACAAAGTTTCAGAGTGTTGTACTTCACTTCTGGGGGTCAGGTTGTTTGAAAGATGGAACAAAATCAGGTTAGCATCATCACTTGCTAAATCCATTGAAGTTTTAACTCCCCTAACTGAGTGAGCAGTGCCTGCCATGATTGAAGATGGGGAAAGACTCTTACATGTGAATAAATGAAAGGTGTAGCCAGCAGAAATTAGCTCATTTCCCAGACTTGGAATTATGCAGCAATGAAGATTTGTCCACTGTGGATTTATCCACAGGTTAGGTGTTCAAACAAACCTGGCATGCCCAAACCTTTGGGTCCAATGGGAAGTACCCATTGGTACTTCCCATTGGAAGTACGAGTGCTGAGGGAGCTGCCTGATGTCACTGCAAGGCCATTCCTGATAATCTTTGTACACTGAGGAACCTGAAGACTGGAACAAAGCAAATGTCATTGGCATCTTCAACGAGGGTAAGAAAGAGGGTTGCAGGGCACTGCAGGCTGGTCAGTCTCACCTTGATCCCCAGGAAGGGGATGGAACGCTTTATGCTGAAAACTGTTTCTGAGCACATTAAAGACCAGTGTTTTGAAGTAATCAGCATGGATTTATGAAAGGGAAACCATGTGTGACTGACCTGACAGATGACAAAACAACAAAATTATTTGCTTGGTGGAGAAGAGGAGAGCAGTGGATGATATCACCTTGAGCTTAGGAAGCCTTCCAGCACTGCTTCCTGTAACATCCTCATGGACAAACTGTTGAATTATGGATCCTATTGCAGCTGTTGGTTAATTTATCTGGAAGCCTGTAACAGTGTAGTTGTTTTCTTATTGGAGAAGAGACTGTATTTCTTTACCAAACTACATGTTCTTACTTTATGTGATCAAGGTCTTTCACTTACCCTTTTGCTTTGTAAAGTCGCCACTTGCAATGTACATTACAAACAATCTGATTTTATTTAATTTGTGGCAATAGTTTGTTGCCAGCTCCATGTCGCACAAACCAATCTATTGGGACTTCAGAAAACTGTACAGTTTGTAAGTGTACGAGCCCTGCTCATAGATACACCACACCTGTGGTTTTCCCAGGAGATAATAACACTAGAATCACACTTTTTTTAATATATATACATATATTTTTAACAATTAAGAAAAGTCCTCAGTTAAATTTTTGATTTTTCTTTGGCAGGGGAAACATTTCTGCTGTGAACTCTGGAGCTGCTGGAAAAAATTTAATGCCCAAATGAGGTGTCTAAAGGCCTAAGTCTCCTTTTGTTTATAAAGGCTAGGACTGGTCTTGAAAAGGTCAAGGCAAAGTCTAGCCAATTTTTTTATTTTTTTTTTATGATCAATTTTGTACTTATTCTTACACTCTCAATGTGTTTTGGAGCAACACTGAAAATACATAGTGTTAATTTGCCTGGTCCCCCCATGTTCTTAACTGCTCTCTCAGCCATTTGGGGGGTCATTTTTTGTGCTGACCTTTATAGCCACTGCATCAGAACTTTGGTGAAGATTTGGGACATTTTAAAAATGCTAGCACTTTGAGAAGAGAATTTTCTTTTTAAAAGTCTAGGTGTTTTCAGCTGTGCTCACCTCCAAGATACAATTGGATGTCTGAGCAGATCATCACTTTTGCTGAAGTGACTAGCAACACCCCCCTACTGGGCCAGCACTGGGCTGGTGTACTGCCCTGGTGACTGCACACAATTTGGGCTGGCTCAGGGCACAAAGCCACCCAGGCAGTGGCAAAATCAGGCTCTGAAGCTGCCACTGGCCAGGAGCAGGATATATGCACTCGCTGGCCTTCCACGGTGATAATTAATTTTTATGAATGAGGGTGAGGGAAAGGATGTTAGAAACAGATTGATTATAATAGGCTTTTAATTAAAATGTTCATACCACGATTTAAACTAAAAATATCCCATTACTTATCTTCGCTACTTCCCAGGCACCAAGGCAGTGGGGGATAATGTAACTAATGATCTGATTGTCACTGGCTTGTATAATGAGGTGTGTCTGGGGGCTGATGGGATTATGCCATCAATCAAGGCCCTTTGCAGCATTCCCTCTTCCAGCAGAGTTCTCAGCAGGGCAGTGTATGCCTGTGCCAGCTCCCTCCCAGCTGTTATTGTCTGTCCCCAAAGTGAGGAGCTCCCATGAGGGGTGTAGAAGCTGGGATGAAAACTGGGGTGATTTTCTGCACATGGTTATAGTGTTTCAGGGGTGATTTTGCTGGGAGGTGGCTGCTTTGTGGCTTTAACTTGCCAGTAAACCATTTATTGAAAAAGTTACTGACCAAAGGAGGCTCCAGAAACTGGGTCCTGCCACCCCAGGTGTGATGTAGAGGATAACCAGGCACTGTCCAGATTAACAGAAGGATGATTTGCTTCACCTTCAACACCTGAGCTTCCTGAGGAGAAAGCTCAGTTTGAAAATCCCATGGGAGCTTTCAAGTAGCTCAGCTGAATGCAGATTTGCGTGGCTGTGCTCAAAGCATGACAACCACCACAGCACTTGAGTGGGGCTTTCAAGGACCAGTGTGGGGTGTGTCAGACTCCAGCGCCTGTCTCACAGCCAGGATGTGTTTGCAGCAGGACAGAGGATCCTCACCAGCCCGTCCTGTCCTGCTGCAGGCTGCCCTGCAGGTTTGGACTTTTCCCAGGCACCAGCATTACTTTCAGGCCACCTTAAAACAGTTTTTGAACAGCTCAAGTGTCTCTGCAGTGAGGGAAGATGGATCATCCATCTTAAAGTTTGTGTCATCACCCACTCTGGTAAGAGCTCTCTCCCTCCCCGTTGCTGGATTGCCCCCAATTAACTTACAACAAATTAGACATCATCTGATTTAACTATTATGAGATCAAAACCAGCAGAAGGTCAAAAAATGCATTGGTCCATTAAGTCCTATTGTCTCTCTTGCCTGGCTCCTGTGAATGCATCTCAGCAGGGCTGCAAATGGTGAGGGGGATGCATGAGACACCAGGAAAATCTGGCTTCTGGCCCAGCTCACACTGAAGCTCTGGGGCTGGGAGTGGCTCCTGATGCTCCGCAGGGGAGAGCTCAGCCCTGGAAGCCAGGCTGGCAGTGAGCTGGCCTGGCACCAGGACAGGATATGGCTGAGCCCACAGCCCAACACAGGCTGGCAGCAGTGGGGCTCAGAAATTCCCTCCTTTGGCACCTGGGGCCACGGCAAACTCAGCACAACCCATCCGGTCTGGGAGGGGTTTTGGCATCTCCCTGGCAGCAGTCAGGGGCTACCTGTATTCCCACATTTTAATGTAGGGGAGACAAGCTTTTTTGATATTAAATTCTATTTAGGTCCCACACAGGAGGAGTTTTCAGCCAGAAAACTCTTACAACCACCTCTAGTGTCACAATTCAGTCTCTCAGCAGGAGACACCATTTTTCCCAACCAGAGCTATACAATGGTTTCCTTTTGCTTTCCTTCAGGCAAATGCTTTTGCAGGCACACAGGCCATTAAATCCATTTTCTGGTCTATTAATACCTACAGGTTGCATTCTTCAGGAGAGCTGCCAAACTGCTCATCAAAGCACCTCAAAACATGAGCTGAACCTATCAGGTTTTCCACAGTCAGGCTCCGACTCCATGACTTGAAGTGTGCCTTTATCTCCATGAAATTCAGACCTGCGACACCAAGAAAAGGAGGAGAAAAGCAGCAGCTGCCTCGAAAGGGGGAGTAACTGACACAAAGCCGGAAAGAAATACGCACATACTAAAATGTAATTAAAAAACATGGTTCATACCTTGCCACTTGGAAATTTTCCAATGATACTGAACCCATTCATTTCCAAAACAAACGACCCCACATGCCGACTTAATTTACATAAGGAAGGCAATGTACCGAAGATTTACCTGTTGCAAATTGTCCTCATTCAAGATGCTGCATTGTTATTTGCAGCATTATTGTTTAAGGCTTCATTTTTGCCCACATGTGGAGCTGTATTTTGTTTGTGGAATAAAAGGCAACAGAACATTTTCTACCACTATGGTTGCTAGCAGTACTTTAGTCTTTGTACTTTGAAACAAAACCTGACTTTGAGCAGCTCACAAAAGGCCACCCTCAGCAATCTATGAAAAGCTGGCATTTGTGCAGCCTGTTACACGTATTTACACAGGGCACAGGATGTTTTTGAGTTAGAAGCCCATCACACAAACTTCAGTTGCAATGCTGGAGAAAAAGCAAGTGATGTCTACAATGCATTGCCTAACTGGAGTGCATGTCTCAGTGCCTTTGAAAAGAAAAGCTAGTGCCAGCTTTTGTGCTCTGCACGATGGAGCGTGAGGAAGGGAAGAGACCACTCTACATGCAAAGCTCATTCAGCACCTGATGCACCAAACAGGTTCCGAGATTTATCACAGGGAACTGTGAAAAAAACCCTTTTGGGTGACCCCACTTCCCTCTACACTTGTGAAGACTCCTGTCAGATTGACTAAAATCCTTGCCCTTTGACTTTTCCTCAGAGTAACTTGTCACAAAAGTCAACGCTGCAGGGTTGTGTTGGGCCGTAGTGACCTGCAGTATTCCATGCAGCAGGGATTACTAACTTCTGCCTGCAATTTTGTGCTTAGTCTTTTAAACCTGTGCTTAGTCTTTTTAAACCTGTGCTTAGTCTTTTTAAACTTGTGCTTACTCTTTTAAGACCTACCTGTGATCTCTCCAATCAGCATCCAAGATGGCCAACAGGAACATCTATCTAAAAAACTATCAGGGAATGCTGCTCTAAAATCATTTTATCATACAGAAATAATATTTTTTAAATCAAGGTCTTGATTAAAAAAAACCAACAAAACATAAGGCCAGGAAGAGAGACCTTGGTCAGCTGGTATTTCAGCAGAACAGACCTCTTAAGAGAAGCTGGGGTGGGTGCTGGGAAGATGTTTCATGATTCCTTTCTTGCCTCCAGCTTTGATCACTTCTGTCACATGCCAGATACTGGACAAATGAGAACTGTGAAAAATTCACTTTTGTAACAAAATTTATTTCTGCTCTGTGGATACAAATCCCAAACATCAACAAACAAATTCCAGTGGAAAAATACCAGTCATTAACAATGAAAACTTTTATTATTATTTAATAAATAGAACTTTGGCATTCAAAATTCTAGCTGTAAACCCTACTTTAAAAAAAATTACAAAAAGAGGCAAGAACAACAAGCCTAAAGCTGAGCCAGCCAGTGGCTCCGTTACTTTTTACAATGAACACATTGTGATTAAGTCATGACAACTCTATTTACATATGAGGTATTCTGAGCAGTTCAAAAATTGAACCCAATTTACAAAACTACCAGTCTTCAGGGACTGATCCAGTACATATGTCAGCTGTGCTTTTAAAAGAGAGCTCCAGACACTCCTCCTCACTGAACTAATGATATACTGTAATTAATATACACAGAAAAAACACATTATGACTTGTGTTTCCTGCTCACACATCATATTCAAAGAAGCTGCATACAACAACCAGCCTAACATTCCAAGTGTACACCTAGTACCTAGTTTCAGTATTTCTGTTTCTAGACATTATGCAGGAGTTCCTACTACAAAAGCTTATTAACAAAGTAATGGCAGGTGAGAAGAAAACAAGGTGCAGTCATCAGCACGCTAACAACTTATCTGAAGTTCCAGAGGGACATACATTTACTTCAGGCTAAAAAGGCACAAAGGTATGCAGCTGTGGAATTAATATTGCTAATGAGCTACTGGAATAAATCATCCCTTTAGATAACAACCATTGAGCTGTTTGCAGTCTAAGAATGCAGATTAGTTCAGATCTTTTCTCCACTCATGGTACAACTTGTCATACCAATGAGAAGAGCACAATTGTACTTCCAACTGCACCTGCATCACACCACTGAGAAGGGCAAGGAAAACTGGAGCAAATCATACCCTGATGGAGAGACCGCAGCTTGCTGTCACTGCCCGTGCTACAGCAGCAGGTCATGGAGAAAAGGGTTTGCTTTCTTCCTCTCCTTGCGCTCTTATCCTTCCCAAGAAAAAAAAAAAAATGTATGAGAACAAAAGACAGGTAGCAAGGGCAAAGGAAGGAAGGAAACCTTTTGAAGTGAAAAGGACGGAATTTCAGCTCTTGAATGACTTCATGACCACCGTCAGTTTCAAATGCTGGAGCCTGAGTGGGTGGTTACAGCAAATCTCCACAATTTCACACACCTGTCACACCACAAAGCTGCACAGCAGAGTTCAGCAACCTAAATCACATTTACATGACTGAGCTGCATTACTTCTATATAGTATATACTTCTATATAGTGAATACATCATCTATAGCTTGTCAGAAGACGATTACTTTTCATGTCTTTTTCAAAATACATTCTTAAATACAGTAGTTACTGTAAGTATCTTCTAGAGGATCATATAAATTCTACCTGAAACTGTACAAAATGTTACTGTACAGCTCGCTGACAGCCAGAACAGTACAGTATCCATTCATCTGCTGTTGTTTTCAGCCCTTGGGATTGTCTAATAGCTACAGCAAAAAGTTGTCATGACTAAATCGAAGCAATTCCAATGTTAACATTCGTTAATCACCTCTGTATTAAATATGCTGAATGAGACCACACACACTACATTTTAACCAATTAAACAGTCATGCATATCTTAGACAAAGCTTATTCCATTTAGAGGCATCTGTAAACTGATGCATATATAGTAATTGCTACCACTACAACAGGCCAAATTTTAAGAAATCAAAGCAAAGTACTGTATCGCTGTAAATAATCAATTGGTAGTTTGCTTCTTTGGCTCACACATCCATCATTTACCTCCCACTTTAATTTGACTGAGGCAGATAAACTCAGGGGGTTTCAAATCAAGTGCTTTCAAGTCAACATAAATATTACAGATTCTGTAACAAAACCATTAGAACAAAAGATTACAGCACTGCAATCAAAAGTATTATGAATAAAATGGGATCTCCTCCCAGAGGGACTTTCAACTAATACTTGAAGAGCAAAAAAGCTCTGAAGTGCTTGGCAAATATAAACTTTGCAGTACAGTATCACAATTTAGCAGGAGGGACAGTGGAGAAATACCAGCCAAGTGACAAGCTTAATAGTTCAAAGTGACTCAAAAGATCTCCTGCTCCCCTGTAATTTCTCTATTAAACTCCTTGTTAATTCTATCAAATGTAGATTAATGTAGGCTTTGGTGATTTTTTAATAGGTACAACACTGCCATCTAAAGAAGCAAAAATGTGTAACTTGTGTGTTTCCTCTCTTCCTAATATTTCTAATTTATTATCTGAAATCCTATTGTTGAGTTCTGGTAGGAGACAGATGCCATAAACTAAAGACTACTTCACTGCAGGGACAAACCCAACCAGCCACACCAGAGGAACGAGCTGAAGCCTTAGTCACAAAAGCCAGCAGTGTCACAGGCACAGCAAACCGTGCAAGCCCATTGGTACAAAGATCCTTGTTTTCAGTTTTGCACTAGTATAAAAGTACACTTTTGATGCAGGTGCGTATTAATGTGGAATTGATATTGTTAATGAGCTACCAGAGTAAATCATTCCTTTAGACAACAACTACTGATTTGTTTGCAGTCTAAGAACGCAGATTAGTTCAGAACATCTTTTCCCCACTCATAGCAGAACTCATCATATCAATGAGAAAAGCACAATTATACTTTCAACTCCACCTGCACCACTGAGAAGGACAAGGAAGACTGGAGCAAATTATGCCCTGATGGAGAGACTGAAGTGTGCCTACAGAAAAAGCACAGAAATTTAAAATAAAATGGCCTAGCTTTTTCCTTGAAGTAGACACTAGATAACTTCACTTGTGATTTTATCTAGACACTGTTTTAATGCTCACAGGAGCTGAACCAGTCAGATTAATCTATCTGATAACAGCATGTAGCAGTAATATAAATAGCAATACTACTTTTCACAAATTAGTCCCAGTCTACTTTCAGGACAGAGAAAACTGTCAAATAAATAAATCCATACAGCTAAAAACAATTAAACCACTAAATTATAAAAACAACATTAACGGTAACTGTTAAACAATGAACAGAAAAAAACACATCACCAAATCAGAAAACTGAAGATATTCACTTTTGCCATAAAAATGTTACCCTAGAATTAACTTGGTTTGAATTGCTTAGCTTTCCAAGAGATTTCTGCTGTTATCCCCACTCCAGATCAGTTGACTGACTTGCACCCTAAGGCATCTGACACTTTCTTGCAATACCATACAAGTAAGTGATGCATGTATTTTTTCTTGACAGTGTGATTTAGACGTGGTTTTACTCTTTGCAAGTTTTTTGTTTCCTTCAGTTAAATACTATTTCCCACCATGCGTAACTGTGCAACTAACTTGCACTGATGTTCCTGGAAACATCATCTGTTCCATGGGAGTTAAAGAGCCCTGCCAAGGGGCACTCATTGAAGAAGCTATGGAACATGAGCTTACTATTTTATGTAATTGCTTCCTACAAAAATGACGAAATCAAGATTTTCCAAGCAACGTGGAAAATTTTCCAGTCCTCGGAAAACCAAGTACTTCATACTGCTAACTGGAAACATTCTGTTTTGAGCCTTAATTTTGCCAAGAGTCAAACACCCTTTTTGTAGTCGTGGTAAAAATGGCTGAGGTGGTGCACAACCTTTATCAGAGACCTTCAGGAACAAAATACAGCAACATTTTGAAATGGAAAGGACCTAAGGGGAAAAATAAATACAAACACTAAAATACAGTTGTTGGTTGTTTTTGAGATTTTTTTCTTATAGCCATGGAATATGCTGCAGTTTTATGTCTTACAGCTTCTCTGGTTTGTCACAGACTTTGAACTATTGAAACTTCTTACAGCAACATGGGAGTGTTTCAAACTATCTGATATAATTTATGGACTTGTTTGCATAAAAGAATTATACATGGGGTTTTTCTGCTACTGGACAAACAAAGTAGACATCCATTACTAAAAACATCTTTCTTATATCCTAATTTTTGACAACTTGGAGAGCAATTATTTTTTGAGTGTTCCAAGATTGTTCTAATTGCAATTCTCAGAGTGAAGTGCAGTGGCAGACGCCTCTGGCTTCATCATGTACAGCCAGACATACACATGCATAGGTTCTTGAACCCTCTCCCCTAAGATCTGAACTCAGATAATGCCACACAAACCCTTGATGAAGGAAAGGACTGAGAGTTGTAGCAGCATGGCTGTTCCAAAGCTCTGGATCCAAAAACTAGGCAAAGCTATAAAATGAGCCCAAATGAAGGAAACAGAGTGTCCAACTGAATCATTCTTCACAGCTTGTTCCTACATTCAGTAGTTTGGAGAACAGACTTCTTGCAGTTTGTACCACTGTTCACATGATGACTGCCCCCTGCACACCAGACTCCCGAGATCCATTACACACATGGAGATGCGTGTCTGGTGCTATTTGCAGCCTTCCCATATGGCTCCTTAATGGAAATACAAAGACCTGTGACACAGCAGGACCTAGCAGGTTGTTTGCTGCAGGATGGAGTGCTGTCACTGAGTGATGCAGTTGTCCCCCATGTCCTGAGCATAACGGTCTGACATGATCGTCCTTAGCTCATCAACATCCTTCCGCAGCTGGCAAACGTCCGACAGCTTCTTCGAAAGGGTCTCTGTGCTGTGGTAATTTTCACTCTCTTCAGATGAGCAGCTCAGTGCTACAAAAAACAATGCCCAAGGTTAAAGCTCCAGCAGCTGTGTCCTGTGAATACTGCAACGAGTCACCTCCTTGGAAATAAGAGGCAGGGCACTTTAATTACATCCAGACAAATCACGCTTCAGCGTGATGAAAAGTCTACAAAATAAGGTACCATGTGAACTTAAACTCAATTCAGAGCCCATCAGTGCTTCTCTGAAAGACATGCTTTTCTGTCTGCACCAAGATCTAGACTTCCTGAAGTCTGGTAAATCAGAACAGCAGTGGAAAAAAAATGAATAGAACATTTCTAGAGACTTCGGGGGTTTCTACAGCCACTCAGAAAAGAGGGCTAGCAGGTGTGTAGCAGCTCTTGCTGCACAAACACTGTACTTTACCTTTCTGCCTTGCTGATGCTTCAGTTTGGCAACCTGTCTACCTAACGAATTCTAATTACCACTCAGAAAACATCCAAATATGATATATTCAGGTCAACACAACCAGATTGTTAGAAGGAAAGACCTGACATAAACTTTGTCTGACTTGTTTTAGGGCATGCTTCTAATTTCCTGGTTAAATTTAACAGCTTAGTAAATGCTGAAGACTAGATGAACAGCACAAGAGATGAAGTTACCAGGCACAAGGCTTATTTAAAACACCTGGACATCCCCACTTCCAAACCAGACCTATACATATTCAAACAGTAGATGGATATTCCTATCACTTGACCCCAAAGACTTTAAAACAAAAGCACAGATGTGTTTAGCATCTGTTAACTCTCATAGTGACTGCAGTGTGTCTCGGGAGGGACAGACACCTGGCCAACCACCTTTCTTTTCTAGAGCAGTGAACATATCCATTACTGGGTCCACATGAAGAGCCAGCTACTGCTCTCCTGACTGGCAAGGACCTGTGTAGTCACATGCCTGTAGTGGCCCAGAGGCACTAAGAGCCCAGCTTTTCCAGAGAGCTCCATGAGCTCATGCACCACTGCTCCAATCCGCATAGCAAGGGGACACAAGCTTGTCCAGCTGGCAAGTTCAAGCACCAGATTAGCTAAACTGTTATTCCTTTGTGTCAGAACATTTATTAAACACTGGAAAATCAACATCACTTACATCTGATTCCCAGCAGTAAGGAAAGGTTAGGCTCCTTGCCCTGAGCTCTCTGGGTAAGAATACTGCACAGTGCTTTCAAGTCAAACAAGCAGTGGGACATTTCCTTGAACAACTGGTCTGCTACAGGCATCTTCTCAGATACTGGCTGCCTGGACTGCTCCACCAGCCTCATCTGCTCCTTCAGGCAGGCATTCTCTTCCATCAGTCTTTGGTTCTTTGTGAAAAGCAAATGGAAAAAAGGGGTAAGTTAGTCTGCAGCATTCACTGTAGCAGAAAGTTTCAAGCCACAAACAGTACAATTAAAAATAATTAATCTCCAAACATATAATCAATATTTCTGTACCCCTCCAAAGAACAGCATACAGACAGCTTTTATATGGCCATTTCACATTATCATTACTTAGCCATCTTCACCCTTTAAGCTCTCACTTCTTGAGACAGGGGTGGTATGCACTATATATATGCATGGGAGCCAGGATATTTAAGTATGTAATTAAGCTCATAAAGCCCTACCAAGGGACCTTATAATCATTCTGTAAGGTTCTTCCTGGCTCTGGTGGTGCGTTGGGTTACTGGTGCGATTTTACTCACTTCAGAGAGAGTTTTATTCAGCTGCTCTATATGTCTTTCTTTTTCCTCAAGCTCATTTGTCATCTTCTGAATTATCAGCTTTTCTTGTGAAAGCTTCTCTTGCATAGACTGAAATGAATGAAAACACACAGGTTAATGATCTTAAACAATAACAAATAAAAAAACCTGCTGCAGTATGGAATCACCTGCTCTCAATTCTCCAGTTTTCACCCACAGAGCTCAAACTGAGAAATCATGAGATACTGCCCAAATGGAATTTTCAGGGTGAATTCAGCATGAGCACAGGTGCCTTTACTCTTGGAAGTACTCATATGTATTCCACTACTCGGCTTTTAAATCTGCAGATACGTCTTTTCAGGTCATGTGGCAAAATTCAGAAATAGGAATATTCAAGCCATCTTATCTAAATGCTAACAATGACTACAGAGTATATAAACTCCTGGTGCTTTCAAACAGAGAGATCTCTTCAGCTGTGAGTTGCCACCTGTAAGATTTATCAGTACTGATGAGAAGGCAGGGAGTAATAAGAGGCAAGGCAGGTTCTACACTACATGACGTTTTTAAAGATCTGGCTGGTCACAGGAGATGTTGCAGCATTGACAAAATCTTCCTGCACAGTCAGTTGAACACCACACAAGCAGTGGGGACTCTGTCATACTCTTTGCAAAATTGGAAAACAATGGTGCTAACATTTACAGACTTAACATGGACTAAAAAACCCTAACACTTTATTTTCACGTCAGCAGTAGGAATGAGCAGGCAGAACCCAGATATGATTACTTGTTTTTAAAACCATTTTCCTACACTTGACCTGCTGCTCTTTTAACCCACAGCGTGCCCCTCAAAAGGAAGTGCTGAAGTAATGTGTATCCTAAAGATAAGCTCTTTGAGAAAGCACAGCAGCGGGAGGAAGGAGGCAAAGGAAACCCTGGGACAGGAGAGGGCAGGAAATAGCTGCTTCAGGCATTTCCTTTGCGTGCTTGCAGATGAGCAGAACCTGCAGTGATGTTGAATCATTGTCTTTAATTTTTAACAAACATTATCTACTGAGAAAAATCACCATTACTAGGTTGGACTGAAGGTCCTTCAAGCTCCATCTGTGGCATATAGATGTCATACTTAAGAAGCTGAAGCGAACAGGGCAATGCAGTGCCAAAAACACCCTCCCAGCTTCCAAATATCTTCCACTTTTAACAGCCATTGTTGAAGATCAAGTTCAGGGACATCCAGTGCCCCAGCTGTGATAGATGCACTAGGACTACCACTGACATGTTTCATGTTCATGTCAATAACAGACAAAAAAGGTTTGTCAGTGCAGCGTTCTGGAAGGGGGGAGGTGGTAAGGAAGACAGGGGGAAAAAATATTAACCTTTCCCAGTTTATTTTCAGAACCATATCTGCCACTAAACTTACATGACTCTGTAAATAAAGCAAAAAACAACTTTTAGAATATTCCATGCAATGTACACATGTTCATCTCAAGAACTGCTCCATGTAATGGGAACTACTAGAAGTAGAAATCAGTGTTTATTTTTAAAAGATACACCTAAGATCTGTCATTCTCTGTTACCCTCATCTGAAAGCTCAGAAAATGAACACATGCTTAACAGCTTGACTGAACCTATAGTGCTAAGATTTCCATGTTTCTCATGGTGCTATGAATTCCTCATACTCCACCCTTAATTTTTCCATATGCTTTCCAAAGTTACAATTTGGTGGCAATATTCCCAGCCTGGCACAGTTGGGGTTTATTGTGACTGACAAGACTGACAGACGTACCTTGGGTAACATAGGCATTGTATAATCTGACTTACTTCTACTCTCTTTTTTTGTACCAAAACTGTTTGTTTAGTGATATCCAAATTAATCATGTAAATATACATTTATTTTTTAGAACACAACTGTTATCTACAATTTTTCTCTTTCTAAAGATGCATTAAATATGCAGCACAGCATCTTGCCAAGACCAACAAAAATTTGAATTCCTTTCACTCAGAACAACAAATCAATGAAGTAAAACCATACCAGGAAGATCAAAATAATTTCACCATGATTATGAGCAAATAGAAACTAATACTGCTTTATACAACTGCTGTCTGAAACAAAATTTGTTTTCAGCTTGCAAGTTGAAACCAATGAACTGAAATACATTCCCAAGCATAAGTTCACAATGTGGCAGAAGACAGGGAATAAAATGAGATCATCTTAGCAGAAGATAAATTGCATCGATTTCAATTTCTAATGAGCTAATTTTCAATGCTTCCCAGGTCACAAGTATGGAATGTCAAAAGATCAAGGATACAAAGCAGCTCCTATAGTCTACAAGTAATTTGAGGGCTGACACCATTTTAAAATCTTATTTTCTGTCCTCATATAAAATACCTCAAAAGGAAAAGCAAGAGAAAGTCCCGGAAAACAGAACAGTACCCTGTTCACAGACAGTCACAACTATTCAGCATTTCCCAGTCCAGCTCCCTAAAGTCATGTCAGGCTAAGCACACAAAACACTGAAGATCACTAGTCCCAAGATAAAGGTGGTGGTGAGAAAAAGACCAGAAGGTTTAGGAAACATGGAAAGATTTAGGTTGATGATAACACACTTAGCAAGTTCTGTGCAACTCTGATAAGCACAACACATACATGGAGTATATATGTAAATAATCTTAACTGCAAAAAGGCACAGAGAACCTCAAAAAAGTTATGAAGTTCAAGCTGAATTTCTTTTTAGTTATATAACACCTGAAACAACATTTGCATGTACCAGTCTACTCCATGCAAACATCTCAGTTTAATAAAATCAGTCTTCTTCAAACCTTGAGAAGCTAAATAAGTCAACTTCCCTCTCATGTTGCAACTTAAATTCTCCTACTGCTTGTCTACAGATATATTTCATACACTGCAATCTAATCACACAAATATATGGCTGTTGACAGGAATCAGGCCTCCTATTTACCATGGCAGAGGGAGACAACTTTTAATAGACAAATAACATCCTAGAAGAGGAATGTGGAAACTAGAGTTTGGCTTCAATATTTGCTGAAAACAGATGTTTGAGTTTTTTTAAATGCTCAGCTTTTTCTATGGCAAGAAATACCTTCCTCACTAAAAGCTGTCTAATGTTTCTTTTTCTCCACAACAAACAGCAGTCACTGAGTAACTTTCAACACTCTCTTAATCAGATCTATAGAGCTGCAGCTGACTCCTAGCCGACAACCTCTGCTGTCTAGAAAAATCTCTGGCTGCAAACTGGGTGACCAGCATCCAGCAGGACAGTTACGGTATCTAAATGTCAGAAACCTGTTGAACAGGATGAAGTGAGGTAATTTAGAAAGGCACCTGTCTCTTCTAACAAACTGAGCAATGAAACCCCTAAGCAACATTGCTTTTGTACTTTGGATGATCCACCAGGCCAGCAGGATAAGGATGCAACATAGCAAGTTTTTCACTTTTTGATGAGTACCAGTGAACTGCTAAACCATAGAGACATAACGACTACACCATGAGCCTGCAAGAGAACATGGGTTGACTACAGTCCATCTGTAAGATTAAGTTTTTGGCATTTCTCCCTTTGACTCCTATTCAGAAAGATAAAATAATAAAATTCAACTCTAGCTATGCCATTCTTGTGAACTAAAAATGCACACAGTAAACAACAGAATATAAACTCTTCCTTACCTGCATGTCCAAAATCAGTCCAGTTATCTGATTTTGTTGATTGTCTATAATCTAGAATATAAAATTGAGCAATTTAGAAGGCTTGAATCTCTTCAGATCGTTGTCTAAAAATCAGCCTACAGATGTGTAGACATAGATTCTAAATAGCATCTTTGAAAAAACAAACTATAAGACAGTTCAACTCTGACAGAACACAAAATTCATGCAAAATCAATATTCTGAACAGAGACAGGCAGGTCTTGAAAAGTCATCTGATTAGCAACAAATATGTAATTCTTTAGCGAGATATTTATTTCTAAATTAAAAAAAAAAATGCAGGACTTAAGGTTAAAGATGCCACCAGCAGATTATTTGTAGACTAACCTTACTGGCTTTCTCATTCTTCTCCTTGAGACTTTCATTCTCACTCTGAAGCTGTTTTGTGTCCAGCATAGGAAGCCGAATACCATCTTCCAGGCATTTTTCTACCTTCTGTTGTAAACTGCCATTCAACATGAAAGAAAGATTAAGTGGGCTAATAGAAACCAGAGGGTTGTGTGTTCTAGGAAAAAATTAGAAACATGCACCATCTTCCCAACTAGAACTGTAACACTATACCTAGCAGAATCCAGCCTTATGTAATTCATGCACCAACAGTGCATGAATGATGGAAGAATTCTAAACTATTCAAGTTGCCATGGCACTGACAAGGCCAGATTCATGCAGATGAATTCAAATTTTATGTGCCATACTCTGTGCTGAGTCTCCCAACAGGCACAGCTCCAGCAGCACCGTGCAGGAAGAGAGGGCAGAGAGGAGCAAAGCAAAGCTTTGCAGTGCTCACAGTTGCTATGTGCTACTGGGGGAGGCGAAGCATAGATCAGAGGCACCTGTGAACCTTCACAGCTTTGGGAGCTTTTAAGTCAGATTGTCTCACTGGGGCACATACAACTCAAAGTGGAGTCCAGAATCAGACATTGTGCACAGTGCTGGTGCCCCATCCATCACACCCTCTGTGACTTGTAATGGGGAGCCCAAGGCCATTCCTGCCAGGAACGCTCCCACACAAGGGCATGGCCTTCAGACCCTCCATTGCTCAACTCAACCCATACGTGTAGCTACAGCCTCCATCTGCTCACCTTCTCTCAGAAAGGAAATACACTTTATTAGTGCTAATCTTGCTGTCTAATTTAGAAACCAGAGGTCACCCCAACTATTTGTAGGCTTTCAGAAAAGACAGAATGATCCCCCTCCAGATTAGGAGAGCACGAAGGCCTTCCATTTGTAAGATGGAAACAATGTGTCAACAATTTGGCTGGCAAGGTGTCCCAGCCAGCTCGCCTTTCAGCATGGAAACCTTTCAGACTCCTGTGGCATGCACCTTTACCCAATGGAGGGACAACAAACTGCAGGAACATCCACAGATACTTGAAAGTGATTCTCCCCTGCTTCCCTCTTCCCTTTCATAAAAAAAAATAAATGTTTAAGTAGGTCCCCTGATCTAAAACAGAACATAGTAACAAAGTCTTACCTGGATATTCTTGGATATCTTTCCCATTTGTTTTTTCATATTTAGGCAAGTTCAATGACAACATATTACCTACAGCTAAATTTTCTTGTAAATACCTGCACCCCTGATGAAAAGGTAAAAAATTGCTGGAATTTCTTGAAATCTTTGACCCTTCCCTGATACACCCATCAGCCAATATCCAGTTTTTCCACAGCTCATGACAGGATCAGTTATTACACAGACCGACTGACAGCTTCTATAGAATGCCCCTTTGCCACACCAGTTTGTTCCATCCTCTATCTGCCAACAGGCCACAATGCCATTGCTGGAGTCTCCCACACCCTCAAAGACAGACAGCAAAGAACACCCTAGGCTCATTCTTCTCTATGATATTAATTACAACTTGCCACAAAGCACGCTGTAAAACCCTTACCATAAAAAGTCATTAGCATTGTAATAGATTAAGACTGCAAATGGTATGAGGTCTTGACATCAGGTGGGGAAGCACACCCATTGCAGGGCACAGCAATGTTCATACCTCTGCACTGTTGTGACCAGCTCTTTTTCTTTTTTCTTCTGAGATGCCAGCTGTAATTCTCTCTCTCTGCACTGTGACCGGGCCTCTCCGAGCTTCTTTTCCAACTCAGCCGTGGTTTCTTGAAGTTGCTTGTTCTTCTCTTCTAGAATTTGAAGCTAACACAAGGTTACGTCAGTCAGACACAGTGTCACACCAGCAGAAGGCCTTGTGTCAGACCACAGCCTTGCAGTGACCTGCTCCATAGTTTCACACCAGTGTTGCTTATCTGACTGTGAGAAAATCCTAATACCTACAGTGCTTTCTAAAAGACTGAAATACTTCTTTTCCTAAACATAAGGGTGAAAAAAAGAGAGATTTTGAAACAGTAAAATATTTGAGAACAGATATTAGGGAGCTTGTACCTTTTATCTTATATTAGGGGCTTATATCTTTTAAATGTAAATCAAACCCCATTTACCTTACCTGTTTAGTCTGCCCTTCTATATCATCCAGTGTTGGAAGGTCAGCCAGGTATTTTTCTAATGTTTCAATTCGTCTTTGCTTTTCTTTGTTTTGCTCAGACTCTTTCTGGCATTTCTTTTTCAGGCTATTAATATATCGGTCTCTAGTTTTAAGCTAGAAGAAAGAAAAAATACATGCTTTATGATAACAGTAAAAAATAAGCCTGCTTTGGAAGCAGAGGCTGTTAACTCTCCAAGAACTTTACTCTCAGCTATATGAAAGCATTGGCTAAGAGCAGGAAACAAAACCAAAAGTTATCAATCCCAACAGCTTCAAGTTACAGGCCCACATGTGTCCTCAAACCACAGCTGCTTCACCTCTGCCCAGAACAAACCATGTGCCTTATGAACTGAAAACACAAAGTTCAACACTTAAAATACTGTTAATTCTTTCACCCACTGAGATGTTCACATGCAACATATAATACATTTTAGTTCCTCTGGACTAGGAAAATAACTTAAAACATGAGGACCAAGAAATGAACCTACCAAAAATGGAAGCCAAAACCCTGATTTTGATGCAGTCTGACAATCACATCAGAGGATATCAGATCAGAATATCTGCTTTCTTAAACACCTTTTCTGTAGGCACCTTAATTTTCCATAAGCCTGGAAAAGACTTTTTGTATTATGTTACATTTGTTTGTACTCCTGGTACTTCTTTTGCTTTATTACCTAGACCAAAAACTGGAAAAAAAGGCAGCAAAAAGGAGTATTTCCCACTGTCCCTCCCTGCCCTCGCTCTCCTTGAGAGATTTTTGTTCAGTGCACAGAATGGATGGGTGTTGAGGGGCAAATCAGAACTGTGCATAGAACCAGGGTCCAACCCACAGACCATGCTGCTAACACAAGCACTGCTGCACAGGTCCTCACCACTGCCACTGCTTGCCAGCTCCTACACAGTGAACAATCCAGGCAGGAAAAGCTCACAAAGGAGGAAGCAGCAGTATCCAACTTCTGCTCTTCCTGCCTCAGTGAAAAACATACTGAGGGTTCAAAGGAAATGGTAAGGCAGAATTTTGAGATGAATTATGCATTCTTCTTTGTCTTCCCATCTGGCACTTCACTGCATCACATTGCCTGTATCCCTTGAACCTGATTTAACATAAATTAAATCCAGTAATCAAAGAAGATAGGTAACAGTGACAATGTATCCCTAAAACATTAATTAGGAACCCCTTGGTGAATGGCACATTCCTGCTTGCCATAAAGGAAGGCTGTGAGTACATTCAAAGCTATCCCTGGGAATTCCTTATGCCTACTAAGAAACCCTTTGTCAAAACATTTCCAAGAACACAGCTATCTTTGTCTCAGACTAAAGTCCACTCTGCACATTCTAAGAAAGCTACAAGAGAATCACTCCTGCTAAATAGGCACGTACAGGCTGGTAAGTGCATCTCAAAGCTTGACGGCCACATTTACAAACCAAACTAAAAATAAGGATTTAATTTTCACAATCTATGTTTTTAAATGATATTTTATTTACATAATAAACACTACAGGAATGAGCAGCTTTGTTTTTTCCAACGCTTAACCAATACCTGCTTAAATCTGTTACCATGATTACCATTTTACCTAGTATCACTTTCTAGGATATATTCTCTGCAAGCCCAGATTTATCCATTACCAACACCTGAAATCATTAATCTTCTTTTTCTATCATGGATAGTTCAGTGATCTTTTGAAAATAACTCCAACATCCATATATTGAGTTGCTTTCTAGCAAAAATATGCTGCTGCAACAGTGACAAAAATAAATGTGGATCAGGAAAGACACTTACTTTCTCCTCCATCTTCTTTTTCTCCTCACTAGATTTGTTTGAAAGTTGTTTCACAATTTCACTGAGTTGCAATTCCTTGCTCTCAGCTGCTGCAATCTTTCGCTCAAGCTCCTCGAGGTGGGATGCTGATCTTTCTGAAATGTGAGGTTGCAGTGCTGTGCTCTCATACTGGGGTTGCTTATGAAAAGAAATTAAAAAAATCACACAAATGAACACACACACACCACTGTGCACTTGAACTGCAGAGCAGAAAACAGTCCTGTATTTTTTTTAGCTGTCAGGAAGGGTGGGGTTTGATTTTTCAAACACTGAAATACATAGCAACAGCATGAGTTTCAGCAATCTGAAGCAAAAAGACAAAGAAACTGGACACCTTTACACTCATAATAAATGCACAAGAACATTGTGTGGCTACTTTCCCCCTCAGATTTATGGAAGATGTGTGATCCCAAAATAAATCTCTGTAAATGCAGATAAAAAGCATTTTCAAAACAAATCACTACCACTGTATTATCATATCATGTTCTCAGAAGAAAAAGACTTTAAAATTGCTATGAATATACTGAAGTAAGACACACTTTTATCTCAAGATGCTCCTAAAGCAGAACATCAATACTAGTCAAAGCTCAGAGCTATCATTCAGGAACAAGCCTGAGACTAGAGCTGTAGCTGTAGTCAGAAGGCAGGTCTCCTGTCTTTTGTTCTGTATACCAAAACTTCCATCTCCACCGCCCAGAGACAGACAAGCACAAAATGGAAGCTGGCTGCATGTGGGATGAAAAAGGAGATGTATCCTATTAGGCTTTCAATTTAAAAATTCTTTTAATAACATAAATTGGTTATCTTTAATAATACTGTCTGTATAATTTCTTTAACTAGTGACATGCCTTCAGCAAGGTATTAAAAGATTAAAACCTTCATTAAACTAGATTTGCTTTTATAAATTTGTCTTATAGAAGGCAAGCAGAAAATCAAATACAAATCAAACAGAAACCCACATACATTATAAACTTTCAATCTTCTTTAATTTATGAAAGAGGAATACACCTGCTGCTTTATTTGAAGCATAACATACTAAGATATGTGCACTGAAATTTCAGTTTCTGCAATATTGTTTCCTTTGTTTGTTTGTCTGGGTTTTTTGTTTGCATCTTCCCTCCCTTCCCTTGCGCCCCCCCCCAAAAAAAAAAATTTTCTTAACTTACAAATTAGGTTAAAACCTTAAATTTTAAAGTATTTTTTGAAAGAAGATCTGGAAGCAACAAAAGCCTAGACATTCCTAAATGTCTCAAAAAGTCTCTATATACCTAAGTTGAACTGAGGCTCCCCTTGAATTTCTCTGCTGTCATACAAACCACACGCTCACCTGATGTACAGCTCTGTTATTCCAAGTACACAAATAATGTCATGCTGAAGTACCCTAGCTGAGATCCTATTGCAGTGCTTGTGACAGAAAAAGATAACATAATAAAAGCGGGATAGAAAAGCTACTTATCTGCATTTAGCAATCCTTTGCTGCATTGCCTTTTAGAAATGCCAAGGTCTGGAGATTGAATTTGTGTGCTGTAAGCAGCTACAGTCCACACACTGATCTGCATTTCTTGGTGAACCTTTGTTACCTCATCCTTATGCTACTTGGTACCTGTGCTAGGTAGGTGAAACTTAGAACAAGTATTCTCAAAATACCACCAGACACTCCCCTTCAGACTAAGTGCTCCCTAGGAGCACTAGCCAATATCCTTTTGAGGCTCTTGTCAAAAGGTATTCCACCAGTCTGTTTGCCTTCTCATATCTCCTCCACCTATTTTATCCATAAAATCTAACCATCTAACCAGGGCAGCAGTACCTCTTCCTCTTCAGAAAACCTCTCATTGGTTATTTTCAGATACTCTCCTATCAAATTATTTTTTTCTCCTACTCTCTCCCTGTAGGTCTACCATACACTCATGCTGTTAAACGCTTGCTCTTACAGCGTCACAATTCTTCATTGCTATCCTATTTATATCAGACTTCAAGTATGTACAAGATTTTAACAAAACTTAGATTTCTGCAAATATAAGGTAAACTACAACACTTAAGAGAAGGCTTTCTCTACACAATTTGCAGCTGTGCAATTACACAGCTATCAATTATCACAAAAGCTCTACACTCTGGCCAGCAGAAAAGTGTGGACATGCTTTCAGGTGCCAGGTACTGGGCACTGGAAAGCTTTGCTGAAAGAAAAGTACTCATCCTACCTGTAAATTAGTCAGGTACGGTTCTTCGCAGTTCACAAGATGGCTCAGTCTTGCATGTTGAGCTCGTATCTCATTCTCCCTTATCTTCTGATGTAAACTGTTAATTTGCTGATTCTGCCTGTAATACACAAATTTAATTTGGAAAAAAAAAAAGGAATGGAACACAGATTAGAAAAACAGAGATCTTAAGACTTACACTGAAGAATACATCAACAATGGTATTCAACTATCCAGGATCTACACTATCTGTGGGCTTCTTCCCACTGCAGCCACACTGCAACTGTAGAAATACGATTTGAAAACTCTTATCAATTTTGTGTGGGTTGAGGGAGGCTTCTGTTGTCATCTGCTGCTAGGATTGGAAGTATAAGCAGGGAAAAGCATACAGAAAGCAGAACAAAACCAAACAAAATTGGCACCTTCATTTCACTTGGACTTCTCCTGCTTGGCCCCTCTTTCTACCAGAGCTGACTTCTGACGTAAGTTGAAAAGACTTACAAATCAAGGGGAACAGAAAGAACTTAAGAAGAAAAGGCCATTATAGAAGATAGTCATCACAGCTTCCCTACAAGGTTTTGCTTTTTGCTTTGCTTAAGACTTTCTCAGTCAAGTGCTTTACGTAAGATGCACCTTCCCCTAGGGTAAAATACTGCACTGTGTACTAAAACAAGTACCAGGCACCAACTGCTTGGCCAGTGTACAGCAGGAACAGTATCAGCATTGTATCATTATTTAATTATAACACAAATTGTATCACTGCTTAAATCATGACTGCATTTGAGCTAGGCAGGACTGCAGGGCAAACACCTGCCAGGTCTCTGCCCCACATGAGTCACAGCCCCACTGCAGTAACTCTCCATGGAGCAACAGGCACTTCAAAACCTGACCCCAGAGTAGAGCTGTCAGCACCACCAGAAACACACAGAGACCTTCTCAATAAACTTAAAACCAATTTTGTGCACTCTGTAATTTTCCCTCTTTTTTATTCTAGGATGTATTTGCATGCAAGCATGACTTTTTTTTCTCAGAGTTTCACCTCTAAGCATGGAGCACGACTGGTTTTTCTGAAAACAATAATGCTGAACCCAGGTGACTAAACCCAATATTAAGAGGAGACAAACAGCAAATATAGGTTAACTTCAAGGGAAAAAACCTGCCTGGCACACTCTGGAAAAGCAAATCCTGCAAAGTATGTGAAAAAACATAAAAATCTGTTGCCGTTTTTAAAATTTGGAAGGGCTGTGTTTAGGAAGAGCATCTTGTAAACATTAATGGGTGTTCACAAAATATGCATTATATATGCTATAAACTAATATGAAATATTTATTAGTTGAAAAGATGCCAACTGCAAATTTTAATAGGATGCTGAAACCCAGTTGAAGGGACCATTTTAGCTACTCACATTTTTCTAGCTAGTCATCAGCCAACTGTACCCCTATTATTTGGTTTACAAAAGCAAGATCATATTTTTAAAATACTGAATAGAGTAGAAGTTATTTCTCAGCCAGATGTGTTAAAGACAACATAATGAGAACATTTTTTTTTCCTGTTTCCCTGTTTTTATATCTATAAAGAACAGCAATGAATGGAAAATCAGTATATGTAAGTTGCCATTTGTTGATACCTGAGAACAATTTATTCAACATGAATGGAGAGCAAGTGAATGTATTTACATGACTCCATAGCAAATCTTAAAATATTTTGTATCAGCACAGGTGATTTTGAGGCTTCCCTGTTCCCTGTACTATTGAGATTGAACAAGCTTGTACAAATACAAAATGAGTATGTGACATCAGAAGACTGTGCACAATTCTGGTTGTCATCTGTAAGATGGCACTACAAACAAAAAGTTTCCAACTTATTTTGGAAGATTAGGGAAGGGAATATGCTCTTAGCTTGTAAGAGACCATATAAAAGCCCAGAACTCTGCACAATTATATGAGAAAATATGAAGTCTCAATGACTTCTGTGCATGCCTTATCACAGAGAACAAAATTATTTAGTATGAGTTACCCAAACCTATGAACTGAAGGAAATTTTTATTTTTTATCACCTTATTACTTCCTAGACAGATCTATTAAAATTTCATTGTTTTAAAATTATTTATGTGTTTTAAAATTATTTATCCACTTATGACATACTCCTTGAAAGCACTATATGATTTTCTGTTTATGGCCAATTGTAATTTAGCAGTGCTTTACTTCCCAGGCAGGATTTCGAGAGTCTGAACACTATGGCCTGGAGAATATGTTTTAACATATTTTTGAACTATCAGTGTAGCTTGAACTACATGACCATAATTCTTTTCAGAATCCTTTCTCTACCCTACCAAATCCCTATTGCAAAAAAGGTGAGATAAGTCAATCCAAGATAAGACAGAACACAGAGTTTAACTAGCTTGATTCTTTTCACTCTGCAAAGCATGAAACTCTCCATCATTATATAACTCTCCATCATTATATAACCTTGCCAACAAAACACTCTCTACAAATGTTTTCAGGCTGCGTAGACCCCACAACTTCTTCACATAACTAACTGTGTCTATGAAAACAACATTAACCTCATGGCACCCAGAAACAAACATTTTGCTGCATAACCAGAGAGTCTGAGCTGTATTCAAAAGGAATTTAGAAATTTCAGTTGCTCTCAAAAACACGGGTTACCTATTACAGTGGGAACACTGTCCCCAGAAACCTCCCTATTAGCAATCTATCAGCCCAGCACTTTAAAAAGGCAAAACCAAATACAATCAGCCTTTAGCATTTCGGTGCCTCCAAGTTTCTGTCAAGCTCCTCAACCTTTAGTGCTTCCAGAAGCCATCTGAGTACAAGTGGGCACAGGCTGTGGCCTGAGCTCTGGGAATGGGGGAATCTGACAGGAATCCAGCCTTCAGTGCAACCAGACCCCACCTCACACATCTGGGTTCAGTGAAAATACCATACCTAGGCACCATGGAAACCGCTTTCCTTCACAATCTCCTTATTTTTTCCCCCATATGTGAGTGTTACAATTTTATGCTGACAGCAAAGGAAGAGTTACTGGTGTACTGTGTGAGTGTCATGGCACCTTTCACATGGTTTCATTCAGCCCCTTTGTCCAAATGCAAAAATCACTATTTTACTTGAAGTGTCTGCCTTGACACATCCCCTCCCCTTAAACTCAGACTAAAGTAGAAGAGAACAGGAGGCAATACCCTGATCCAAAGTCATCAACCAACCAAAGAGACTCAGAGCTTAAATAAAATAAATAAAAGTTTAAAATTGAAAATAAATCAGAAAAGGCAGGAATAAAAACCATCCTTTTGGAAGGGACATTTTAATGTTCCTTATTTAAACTGATTTCCAGAAGGAAATGGTATTAAAAGATGCATAAACTATAAATATTCTATCCAATTAATTAATGCAAACATGAGAATAATAACATTGTTTTCACAAACACGTCTGACACAAATCTTTCCAGCTGTCCCTCAAGGTATAAAATTATTTCCAGAAACTGAGGGCAGCAGAGCAGAAACACAAAGAGAATCTAAACTCCTCTTGATGTAGGAAAAGACTGCCTGGTACACAGAAAACTGTCACAGTTACCCACAGAAGAGTTCTGTACTGAAGACTTCTTTTTCTTCAGGTATAATAATTAAAGGGATTTTTTTTTCCTTCAGAAGCTACCACCTGCTTGCTATATTTTCATAATCTTTTTTTTAAAATTTCACTGATATCCTGGACTATGCCTTTTCACCCACTTTTTTGACCCTCCAGCCATTTATAAATAACCCGAGATCAAATCCTCCCTGTACTGCTCCTATGTGCATTCTTTCTGAGGGAACTCAGCAGAAGTGACAGGTTAAACAACATATAAGACTCAGGTGGTGGCTGTGTGCTGCTCTGTGGTCTCCTGAACCAGCTTTTATGTCCCAGTTCCCACGTGTTAGCTATTCGAGCTAGATTATTTACAGAAAACCTATCATTTTCACAAAGTAATGACTTTGGCTTATTTCCAAGTCTTATAAACAGGTATTTTGCTCCCTGTTCTTCCATTACCTTCAACATTCTTTATTTTTGTAAATAAAATTTCAAGGCTTCAGTCATGTTTCACTACTTCAGATCAATGACATGTTGTTAGGAAGGAGAAGTTAAAAACCTGTCATGGCAGATTGCACCATTCTCTCACCTTTCCCAGAATTACCAATTACCACCCCTACATGAAATCCTAACACTACAGATTAGGCTATCAAAGATGCTGATTCCGTGTAACTATTTCCTTGGCATTTAAGGAGGGTAGTATTCCTTATCTGTCTTTCTGCTTGCCACAGACACTTCCATTCGCAATCCCCCCATCCTGTGACTCTACTTACAAAGCTGTTTAGAATTCATAGGAAAACTTCTAATGCTACTTGACCCTAACTGAATCGATTGAAATGAGCAAAAACAAAGTTGGAATCGTAACTGTGAAGTATCAATGGGAAGAGTGGGGGAGGTCTCTATTTTTATTCAATTGCAGTTCTGTCATTTAGCCCAAACATTTAGCTCTTTGAAAATTCAAGTCAGTGCAGAGGATGTGATAGCAGAGAACAGCACTTAGCTCAATGTGCACAAGCCTGGACTGTCTTCAGAGACCAGCATTAACACAAACTGCTTCTCCTTAAGTCTCAAAATTATTTGTATGACAGAATTTACATTCACATAATTTTCTCACATTCAAGCAGGACAAGTGTGGACACATGCTTATACAGACACTCACATATGCATTTATCTGGAAATAAACCGTATTTCTCGAATCTGGGACCAGCTCACCCATTCTCCATAAGCCCATCTTACCCCTTACTTACTCTAACATGAAAGAGCCTTTAGAAACGCACATCTGTCAGAGAAGCACTTCATCCCCCCAACTTCTAAGTTATGCTTCTTAACTTTAATTTTTAAATTAGCATAAATCTAAGTCCCACACTCCAAGTCAAGGTAAGATCAGTATCTTCAAACAATTCAGGGATTTCAGAACAGAGCTTGCTCCACCACAGAGGGGACACTAGTAACTTGTTAAGAAACCAAATGACAATTGATGCTTACCGTCAAAAGTCACAAATACTAGAATTTGCTGCTTTAGGTGGAAATGTCTGAGCAG